CAAATCCATACTGCCCAGCCTGCAAAAATTAGATTAAACCCAGCTAAGCCTTTACCCTGGACTTCAGAGACTGAAGCCGCTTTTGCCTCTATAAAACAAGCTCTGTCGCAAGCTCCTGCCTTAGGCCTTCCTAATTATACTAAACCTTTTTTTCTTTTTTGTCATGAAAAGGATGCATTTGCACTTGCAGTACTTAATCAGACACATGGAGACAAGCACCATCCCATTGCTTATTATGGCTCTGCTCTTGACCCAGTTGCAGCCGGATTTCCCCCATGTCTCCAGGCTGTAGCTGCAGCCGTTGTCACTGTTGAACTTCCCTCCACCCCTGTATTAGGTTCTCCCCTGACTGTTGCTGTCCCACATGCTGTAGCAGCCCTTTTACTAAAAACAAAAACCCAACACCTTCACATGCTAGATTAACTAAGTATGAAATCTTGCTTCTCCCTGCTGGAAATGTCACCCTAACAAGGTGCCCTGTTTTAAACCCTGATTCCCTGTTACCTACCCCTTCAGATGGTGAACCCCATGATTGCATTTTTGTTACTGCTCACCTAACAATGCCCCGCACTGATCTATCTAAAGGACACCCCATGATCCAGTATTCTATGTTGATGGATCATGTCAAAGAAACTCAAAAGGTTCCCATGTTGCAAGATATGCAGTATGTTCCCAATATGATGTTATAGAAAGCCATCACTTACCTAATGTGTATTCAGCTCAAGTTGCCAAGCTTGTGGGCCTCACCAGGGCTTGCACCCTAGCCTCCGGTGCCTCTGTTAATATTTATACTGATTCTCGCTATGCTTTTAGTATTGTACACAATTATGGTCAACTTTAGAAACAAAGAGGCTTCCTCATTTCAGGAGGTGCCAAAATTAGTAATGGTCCATACGTAAATGCCTTGTTGAATGCTTTACAATTACCTTCTGCTGTTGCTATTATTAAATGCCAAGCTCACCAGAAACCTTATGATGATGTTACATGCAGGGATGCTCTGGCAGATTTCACTGCCAAACCTGCGGCTAGTTCCACTCCTCAGGCTACGCCTGTGTTTTTGTCTATTCTAACTGACCAGTCCCCATTGGCAAGTCTTCATGACATTGCCGTCCTCCAAGATCAGGCTCCAGAACCAGACAAACATACATGGAGACTGGCTGAGTCTATAATACCTTTGATACACCCTGACCATTTGTGGCGCTCCCCGGACAGCTGCCTGGTGGCCCCAATGGTCCTTCTTCCTCATCTTGCTCGCATACACCATGGCATGGCACATGTGAGCAAAGGGGAGATGTTAGAAGCTGTTAAGCTTGATTGGTTTGCTCCAACTTTTCCATCTGTGGCTCAGCAGTACTGCCACACCTGTCCTATTTGCCAAGCCCATAATGTGGGGAAGTCTGTAAAAACAAAGAAGGCAGCACCCCCCCCCACCTTGGGGACCGTTTGTAAATTGACAATTAGATTTGATTCAAATGCAGAAATGTTGTTCTTATGAATATGTTCTTGTTATTGTATGTATGTTTCCTGGATGGGTAGAAGCCGACCCATGTGCAAAAGCTGACACCATCACTGTAAGCAAAAAGTTGCTCAGAGACTTTATTCCAAGGTTTGGTATTCCTTTATCCCTAAACTCTGATAGAGGAACTCATTTTACTAGACAGATAAAAAAATCTGTAAAGTCCTGCAGATCCAACAAAACTTTCATTGTCCATACCATCCACAGGCCTCGGGCCAAGTGGAACACCAAAATGGCATTCTAAAAAATAAACTGGCCAAAATTTGTGCTGATACTCACCTAAAATGGCCAGATGCACTTCCCATAGCTCTTATGAGTATGAGATCTACTGCCAACAAAAGACTGGGCTTAGCCCACATGAAATTCTAATGGGAAGACCCATGAGGCTCCCCACCTCGCCACCTGTTGCCTCCCACTTTTGCGGTACACATTCACTTGATGATACCATTCTGGACTATTGTAAGGCACTAATGAAGTGTGTTAAGGCTTTTCATTCACAGCTTATGCCACCCCTGGAAAGTTCTGTTGGACCTGTAATAGGTCTCACGGTGTAGTTGGAGTCAGTAAGTGCGAGGTAGAATTTAAGATAAATAGTGCTTGGTTTTCTAATGGTTCCTGGATATCTAACTACTCCCCTGCAGGTCAATTTTCA